AACGCCCCGTTCGCAGCCATGGGACGGAGCTGAATATTTTAAATCAAAAACTTTATAATAGCGAAATATACAAATTAAATTGTTACCATTTAATAACACGTCACGTACAGTGTCGACATAGTCCTTATCAGTATGGCCGACACATATAAGCACATGGCATCGAACCTAGAACCCAACGTAACAAAACACAAAACATATTAACACTCGAAAAATATTATCCTCCCACGGCAGTATGGTAAAAAAAAAGTGACAAATATATCATTGCAAAAGAATAGTTTTAGATTTATTATATGAAATAGTCCAAGTAAAAAAAAAATTGCGATTATTTAATAACTGGTGTCTATTGACTAGTTCATTTGAAGTTAAATATTGAAGGAATCTCTATTTCTTCAATAAATAATAATAATAAAAAAAAAACAAAAAAATAATATAAAAACGGTGTAATGAATAAGAAAATTGTATTGTTAGAAAATTGTGTGTAATACCTGAATAAGTGACGGAATGGGAATATACTAATGCGCAAGAATGTAATTTACCAATAAAAGAGATATCTTATTTTGAGGAATAAAGAGTTTTAGTCTACTTCGTTAATTTTCATTTAAATAAATTGTCAGTAGAGGGCGTTATCATACAGGAATCTTTGAACTATAGATTTTTGTGAAAACCTTAACTTTATTCTACTTTTTATGCCTAATTTTCCTCAATGGCGGCATATAATGCTTTATAGTAGTATTTGAATCATTATTAAATTTGATTAAGAACTATAGATGAAGGATCTTCAAATGACAGCTTTGATAAATAATTTATGGTGACAAAAACTGAAAGAAAAAGAGTAAAATGTCCTTTAGTGCAGAGATTATTTCGAATAAATACATATAAACATAATTTATTGAAATAACTTTACAATATAAAAAATATAATTGTGAATATATTATGTACAAATCATAAAGATACAAAATAAGGAATATTATGAAAGGGATTGTTAATTTAAGGCATTATTTACATTAAGCAATTTGTAATTCTAAATTTCCAACGTAACTATTCTTGTTAAAGTAATTTAATTTGGCCTCAATTGCATTTTGATTGCCAGAGCAACATTTTCCAACACAATATTTATTATTTATTTATTATTTATGCCGAGATCAACCCTGGCAACACTAACTTCATTATATTCATATTGAAAATCAATTACTTTATTTATAATAATATACAAATGTCAATTCGGCGTTATGCCATGATGACTTAAAAATCTATATATTATATAAGAAAAACCTCTGACTTAATTAGATCTTTCAATTTAAATTATAATCTTTATTTATTGTTAATCAATATTTACAAGACCACGATTATAAATACATTTCAATTGTTTAAAGATTATTGACAACTGTTACTTTAAAATATTTCAGAGTAGTGTTGAATAACATTATTTTAAGACGAACCCCACCAAATAAATCACCCTGTACATTTAATATCATACAGCCTTAAACTCACACATAATAAAGAAAACAACTTACATTTTCTCTATACATTCGTCAAATTAGTTTTCTTTGTAGTCAACTACTTTTAACTTTATATCACTTAATTTCTTAAATACATAAAGCATATATCCTAAATAAACACTAACAACTATGTCTATTCATTTCTTACTATTAATTACAACTATAAAATACTGAATATAGACTTATTTTCCGCGAACGTTGGCACTTATTTTACACTATAATTTAAGACAATACTTAGAATTTATTTTACAAAGAATCTGTTTTGAGCAAGTGACATGAAAATCAAACGTTACAAATAATGTGGATGTGACTTTTAGCTTTGGTTATATGTAATTTTCGTAGGCGTTTTTTTCATTATTTCAAATTCAGAGCAGGGATATTTATAACATAAACGCTCCTAAACTTTTGTCTCAAAAATTGATAACGATGTAATTCATAATGAAGGGCATATCCACAGTATAGATAACGTTTTACGGAGTGTTACGATAATATTGCACGCAAATATAAGGGCCTATTGAATATTGCACTGTTATAGGAGCTTATTTAAAACTAGGATTAATAAATAACTAGAGATTATAAATTATTATGCTACTAATACTACGATTATATTGAGCAACGTTTTGAAATCGATGAAAAAAATAATTTATGCCTCGCGCGGTCTAATTTGGTTTGAATAAAAAATTACAATAGCACAAAATAATTGCCTATGTTACAACCATATTTGTATGGGTTGCAATAAATTATTTTATCACATGGTGTATCACATGTGCCTTTATAAATTATAATGTTTATTTTTCTTCTAAAACATAATAAAATTTAGCAAAATATATGTCAACTAATCTTATATTAAATCGAAACTAATAAAAGGAGATGTCTTATTTCGGACTAGCACTATGAACATTACTTAGAAATTTAAGTTTAAAATGTTTATATATTTGATACAAAATGCCTGCAAATAATTTTAATAAGAGTATAGTCATAATAAAAACTTTTCAATATGGCCGCCATGTTTTAGAGCAGCCACGACAGTTGCATATGACATGAGTTGTTGAAGGCACCTAAAACGAAATAAATTCGTGAAAAATTAAACATTACAAAAAAATATTTTGGTGCTAGCCTATGTTCCATTCGATAAACATTTTAGTATATAACGATCAAATACACAGAGTCCTTCAGTCAGCATCTCCTTTTATAAGGCATGGTGCTTCCGAAGTACACTTGTTCTTACAATCTAAAATTACCAGTCGACGTCCGATCCCATTGGAATCAACACTTTCATCGTACAATAAAACGTATAACATTTAACAAATATAATAATCAGTATTTGGATTAACAGAATAACGCATCTTGCAGCTAACAATAATTGGGGCACGTCCTACGTGAACTATGCCATCTAGAAATATACAACTGTCCTATTCAAACATCATTTTAAATTTATACTATATAGTCCACAGTAAAATGTGCACATTTCAAACGAAAACAAAAAACAAATGTCACATGAAATTGATGAGTTAATAGAACAGTTAAGAAGTATTTTATAAATCAGATTTTACTTCAAGTTTACGTTAAAATACCAGCATGATTTTTTTTCTTTTTTTTCCATTAGGACGTAGCATAGTTTACACAGACAGTGTCGGAAAGTTGTTGTGTAACAATGACGCGTAATTATCGTTTCGCCCACTCCACTTGGCTCTAAATTAAATTGACTCAAAATTTTTTTGGTATCCAATAGTCCATCATAGCCGTAAAGAGTTCACAATCACAGAATCCAAGTCGTACTGACCTTCGCCGTTGAGGGTTTGATGGTCGACGACGACAATTTATTCGCCTGGAAAGAGATACAATGGAAGGTCAATATTTGAACTGGTCACTCTGTCTCTTCGATGGTCAAAAGCACCACATATCTGCGATCGTGTGGTCATAGAACGGGACTAAAACGTGGTTCGCAATTGTACGACGATGAATAGTGCGAGATAGAAAGCTATTTTGGCAGCGGCGCGAGGAAGATGGCAATACTTCTAAATACTCAATGTGTTATGTGCAATGATTACACATTTACGTACGTTTAAGCATAAAGAAAAGCAGCCAGGGTCAGATGGCAGGAAAATATGTGGAGGCCACGCAACATTATTCGCCGTTGCAGGAATGGGCAGTCCCTTATAGAAAGTACCACGATCTCACAGACAATCGTGAAATGGCAGTATTATACTTCTGCGTTTCCTATGGTGAGGAAGCCGGGCTCCACTTTATTAAAAGGTCGCAAAGCAACAGTTTTTCTTTCATTTCTTGTTTATGAATGGAACATCGGTTGAGTCGGCCCATTTATATCTGAGGCCGCGGTGTGGCGTACCACAGAAGAAAGGATCAACATTGTGCCGGAGGAAGATGTGTGCAAGAGTGAAATGGCTGCAGACAGCGACGTGATCAGCAGCCAAGGATACGAAGCTAATGCGATATTGTGTTATATTGAGAGCGATTTTATTGCGTGTGAAAGTAAAGAGAGAACGTGTATATACTTGACGGGTTTTTTTGCAGTCCGGAGCCAGTATAGGCTCATTGGCCTGTATGAGCGGGACAACAAAATAGTGAGTGTGTTTTTGTCAGCGTGTGTGAACTAGTCGCTTGAAACATGGGACGTGTGTAATTTAGATGGCGCGTGTGCGCGAGACAACGCTTGTATATAAGAAGGCAAAAATGAGAGTAAATTTGTCGGCGTGTGTGAGCGAGTCCCCTGCAATCTGGGACGTATGTAAACTAGATGGAACATGGGAGTGAGACAACAAACAACGCCCACGCTCTGGCGCGAGAGTGTGACGGGGCGTTTCGGCCTTGTCGTGTGCAAGGGAGACAATAAACAACTTATAATGGACAAAGAGTGCGAGCGAGACGCGTATACAGTAGCTACTCACCCACGCAGTGACGCGAGAGCGTGACGGGGCGTTAGGGCGCTCGTCTTTGGCGTGTGCAAGGGAAACGATAAATAACTTATAATAGACAAGGAGTGCGAGCGAGAAGCGTATACACTAGCTACTCACCCACGCCGTGGCGCGAGAGCGTGATGGGGCGCCCCTTGATGGGGAGACGCCCCTAACAATCGGCGAGCTAGACGCGTGTAGCTACAAGACGAGACAAGCGTGACCCACTAACAATCGACAAGGAGTGCGAGCGAGAAGCGTATACAGTAGCTACTCACCCACTCCCTGGCGCGAGAGCGTGACGGGGCGCCCCTTGGCGTGTGCAAGAGAGACAATAACCCACTAACAATCGACAAGGAGTGCGAGCGAGACGCGTATACACTAGCTACTCACGTAGGGAGACAATAAACACCAAAGAGTGCAAGCGAGACGCGTATACACTCCCTGGCGCGAGAGCGTGACGGGGCGCCCCTTGGCGTGTGCAAGAGAGACAATAACCCACTAACAATCGACAAGGAGTGCGAGCGAGACGCGTATACACTAGCTACTCACCCACGCCGTGGCGCGAGAGCGTGACGGGGCGTCAGGGCGCGGCGGCCGGCTGCCAGCAGTCCCGGCACTCGGCCACTGCGCCGCCGTACCTCTCCACCTGGAAGGTGGCCGCCTGCACGGAGAACTGGTCGCGGGCGAGCCGCTGGCACGCGCTCAGCACCCGCTCGGCGCCGGCAAGGTCATCTAGGGGGGTTTCTTAATGGAAAAGGGGGCCAAACGAGCAGACGGGCCAACCTGGTGGATTACATTATCCTGTCTTGGAAGGACGTTTTACAAACAACAAATTATCTGTGGATCACACAAATAGTTGTCCCGTGTGAGAATCGAACCCATGAACACCGACGCCGAAGCTTATGCCTTGGCAAATGCCAGCTTCGGCGCCTCGGAGTCCACTTTCTTTCACTGCTGATATCAAGGTGGCGTGAGATGTTTAGTTTTTTTTTTAAATAAAAAAAAGCATAACTTTACAGTAACTCACCGATTTCACTGTTTTGAGGAATGTTTGTATGGGACGACAGGGTATGCAAGGCTAGAGAAGGGAGATGGTAGAAGTGGAACTGGACAGTTCAATTGGCCTGATGGTATAGATGAGGAATGCCAGCACCGGTGTAATGCGCCGACCCTACTTAGGTGGGATAAAGGGGGAGGTAGTAGAAGTCGAGGTGGAGAGTACAATTGGCCTGATGGGATAGATGAGGAATGGCAGCAGTGGTGTGATGCCGACCCTACCTAGGTGGAATAAAGGAAGTAGGGGTAGAAGTATATATGAGGGATGGCAGCATCGGTGTGATGTGCCGACCCTACCTAGGTGGAGTAAATGTGAGAAGTGGTAAAAGTCTAACTGGAGAGTATTGGCCTGATCGGATGTGGAACGGTAGCGGCGGTGAATACTCACCAACGGCGATGTGAGCTGTGAGTATCGTGTAGTGGGTGGAGAGGGCCCACACGTGGAGCGAGTGCACGTGGCGCACGCCTGCCACGCCCGCCAAGGCGGCCACGCACTCGCGGTACCTACAACGTAAGTATCTCACACTGAAAATGCCACCTTTACTCACACGCTTCATAACTGTAAATCCCTGATCATCGTCCATTGACATCTTTAACACCCGTAGTGTTGAAAATGGGTCGCTAACTTTCAATAAAGCGGGCCCCGGCTACCTCACTCACCAGACGTAACGCAGAAGTGTTACACTTCCACTTCACGCCCGTCTTCTGTGAGGTCGCGGTACTCCCCCGGACGGACCTGCCAATTCGTGCAACAGCGAACACTGTTGCGTGACCCTACCATAGTAAAATACATTTACTTTACCAAGATGACTGCTAATAAACAAATAAATAAAAACCAATAGGATTTAAGTACACCTTTCGAAACCAATTTTTAAGCTGTTTCAATATACAAATGATGGCAATACTGGCATTGAGTCCCTGTTGACAGAAGTTGCCATTATAGCTCATTATTATGATTAATAATGTGATAGACTTCAGTACTGTGTGGTCTAAGAGGGCGTTGGAATCGAACCTGAAGCCCTTGGGCACCGCCTGCATCAGCATGGAGAGCGCGTCACGCACCACCCGCGCCGAAGTTAGAAGCACCAGCACGCTGAACACGAACGTGCAAATCGGGTCGACCACCTTTGCTTCCGGCTGCAACACGCGAAATGCAACCCTATCACTTGGTTATAAAACACTACTTCCTATATCATTTTCTGTTTCGAATATTGAAATACTTTATGGGGTCGACCATCTTCGTATGTACCACGTGAAATGAAACCTTATCACTTGGTTATAAAACACTTCTTCCTTTATTATTTTCTGTTTCGAATATTGAAATACTTTATGGGGTCGACCATCTTCGTATGTAACACGTGAAATGAAACCTTATCACTTGGTTATAAAACACTTTTTCCTTTATTATTTTCTGTTTCGAATATTGAAATACTTTATGGGGTCGACCATCTTCGTATGTAACACGTGAAATGCGATCATATCACTTAGCTATAAAACACTTCTTCCTTTATCATCTATATATTCTGTTTCGAATTCTTTATTTCTGAATATTAAAATACTTTATGGGGTCGACCATCTTCGTGTGCGACTGTAACACGCGAAATGCGACCTTATTACTCTGATATAAAACACTAATTTCTTTTTCATCTTCTTTTATCAAGTATAGAGATACTTTATCGAGTCGACCAGCTTCGTGTTTAACACGCAAAATGCAACCTTATCACTCAAATATAAAACATCATTTTCCTTTTCCTTTGTCTTTCGTCATCGGATCTTGGGGTCACTTTATTTTGTAACAACATTTGCTTCAGACTGCAACACGATTCCGCAAAGTTTCATTGTTAAAAAATGAATAGCATTAATAATTAACGTGGCAAATCAAGAACAATTTAAATCCTGAGCGAAATTCAATAAATATTCATTCTCACGTAAAATTTGATGAGGACGGAGGCGAGCAAAACGCCGCAGCTCTGGATGAGATCGCCTATCACGTGGATGAGGGCGGCGCGAAGGTTGATGTTCCTGTAAGAGAGCATTGTTGTTTAGCTTGTCCATATTAAAAAAACCTAATCTTGTCGCAACGACGTTCGTCTGATCGGAATCCGAAGTTCAATTCGGCTTCTGCTGTCGCCTGCCAGAAGACCATCGTAGACTAGAAGTATTTTTGCTTTTGCCTCAGTGAGGCAGCCTAGAGGTTACTGAACAATATCCACTTATTGTTTCACCATACAAAATACATTCACTCTTCTAGAATTTGTAAGGCATTTGCAACCTTAGAGGTTTTCTATATTTCCATAGACGGCGGTAATCAATTTACATCTGTCATTTATGATGTTAGTGTGCGTCTTTTATGGTGACCATATTACACTCACTCACTCTTTTACAGGTTTACAAAACGCCAGAAATGTTGTAGATGTGGATACATGAGCTGGGGTAACCACTTCTATCACGTAAGATGTGGTCGTTTCTACTACTAGTTTATAAGATTTTATCGCCTTTTAATTTTGATTCCCAATACAAGACGTTTGGAACTCTTTCCAGAGCTCATGGTCGCGAGACTGTCCCGTAAGAAAAGTTTAAAACGTCAGCAATTAAAAATCGAAACTCAAACGCGATAAAATCCTCGTATCACTAAATTAGTTTCATTTAATATGTATAATATTCGCACAGTCTTTTATTATATATATATATATATACTTTCCGAAATGTTACCTGTTAGGTCCACTAGTAGGAATATATAATAGTAAAACGCTCACTTAGTGCGCGAGCCCGCGTCGATTTCGACGTCCGGCAATTCCTTCAGGCTGTAGTCGCCGTTTACGAGGCCGTTGGGGCGCTTCGCCCCCGAGCGCCGGAACATGCGCAGCCCCAGCCAGGGACGGGTCGGGGCCGTTTGTGCGTGTGTGTGCGCGTGCGTGTGGCCGCACGCCCCGCCGTGCGTGTGGTGGTGGGCTGCGAACGGAATATGGACTCTGTGGCGATGCGGATAGAACATATTTTGATTCGGTTTCGGAGTAATCGATTGACGGATAAACGATTGCAGCTCTAGACGCTGTTCGCATCTTCGCTTCTGTTTCATATCAAGCCGATTTATTACTTTTTTCGTGAAATGAGATTGTTATTACACTATCTAATGGCAAAAGTATAATCTAGTAATAAGTCGTAGCCGCAACTTTTGGGGGTAACATCAAATACAGTAATGGATTCGAAAAAATTGACACATCTAGGAGCATCGAGGTGAAAAACCTGGGTAATAGAAGATCGGAAATGATAAATAGTATTTATTTGCCAATTCCGATATGAAATAATAGTCCATGAGGCAGGCATGGACGATGTCGCCTATATATATTTTGAAACTAAACTTATAAAACTTAGGCTTTATACTTGCCACCTCTTTCTTTAAGTACGAGAAGAAAAAGGGCAGACAGCTCACCGATGCCGCTGGCGCAGCCGTGCAGCACTAACGCGAGCACCACGTTGAAAGCCACCCCGCACCCGGAGACGACCATCATTATGTCTGGCTCGATGTTGTACTCGCCCGTGTGTATCCTCAGCGCCGCCACGTACACGAAGATGCCGGTCAATGCCCAAATGAGGAGCACCGACGCCATCGCACCAAGGACCTCTGTGGGAAAATATTTTCTAAATCTCCGCCACAAGCGTATGGGGATATTGAGGATGGTCGGTCCAATACAAGACTTTAGGTTCATCAACAGCATCCCACTCCAGTCTGTGGTTGGGCCAAGCAACGGTGATCGCTGTTAATGGACAAGTCCGTCCGGGTGAGTACCGCGAGTTCACAGAAGAGCGGCGTGAAGTAGAATCGTTACACTGCTGCGTTTCGTCTGATGAGCGTGGTAGCCGAGGGTTTATCAAAAGGCTCCTGGGACTCAGGACACCTGAGCGGCGATAATCACTTCCCATCAACACCCGAGGGCTTTCAAATGCGTTGCCGGCCTTTTAGGAAAGAGTACGATCTCTTCTTGAAGGTTCCCAGGCCGTAACGGTTCGGAAAGACAGCCCGGCGGCAACTGGTTCCACAGAGCGGGTGTTACAAATGTCCACGAGCGGCGGTTATCACTTAACATCGGGTGAACCGCCAGCTCACTTGCCACCTTCTCACATAAAGATACCAACCAGCACGACGGTAGCCGTAAGACATGGCGGCATTGGGGGGCCTCCGAGCGCAGCGGAACGCGAAAAGAGCAAGGGCGAAGCCCCCGCAGTCGCTGAGCATGTGCGCCGCGTCCGACATCACGGACAGACTGCCCGCCAAGTAGCCCCCGATCAGCTCGCAGACCTGCGGAAGAACGCGAACGAATGGTGAAGAGGAGGTGGAACAAGTAGTCGTTATTTAAACGCGGTTTGTGGGCACCATGCTATAGCAATTGTTGTAACCTGCGTTGGATATCCAAAATAATGTTGTGAATGCAAAATTTTATCGAAGTTTATTCCAGTTCCATTTTGGACGTTCGCTTTTATAGGGTTCATCACAGGAATTCCACTATAACGTTAATCGTTAATAAGTGCGTGCAGATACAAAACGGTGAGTCAAAAGAGTGTAACTTCAGTGAAAATGAACTTCTTTACGCATTTACATATTTTAGAAAATATGATATATACTTATTTATTATAAATACCTAAAGCCTAATGCAATAATCTAAATAAATAATGTTAAGTCGTTCTGTAATGATAAAAAAAACTGCAGAAACCCGTGAGGAAATTATGTTATCATTAAATATAATAAAAAACCATGCGAAATAAAATTAAAAATAATATTATTATTTTTAACTATTTAGTGAATTGTTTATATTATTGAAGGATTTTTGTATTTAACGTTGAAGGATTCTTTAATAGAGCTTTACTTGGCGCCAAGCATTGCTTCAAATGCTAAGAAAACAATGTAGAAGAATACGTTAAGATTTTCGTCGGTGTGGCAATCAGCCGTTTAGCTCAGTGGCTAGAGCGTCAGGCCGCGAATGCCGAAGACGTGGGTTCGATTCCCACAGCGGCGACAATCTTTTCGCATTTTTTCTACATATTTTAATGTTCAATCTTTAGTGCAAAGATTAGCACTATAAACAATTTAAATTTCTAAAAAAGCAATGGCGACATCTCTCGTTCGAATTATCGTTGTAAAACGATATTCGAAATTGTTTGTATGCTGGAAAGGATACAACAATAGATGGCGCCAAGCATTGCTTCAAATGCTAAGAAAACAATGTAGAAGAATATGTTAAGATTTTCGTCGGTGTGGAAATCAGCCCTTTAGCTCAGTGGCTAGAGCGTCAGGCCGCGAATGCCGAAGACGTGGGTTCGATTCCCACAGGGGCGACAATCTTTTCGCACTTTTTCTACATATTTTAATTTAGAGCTTTACTTATTATAATTAAAAACAATTAATAAATATTTATCTGGAATTTATCACGTGCTCAGCGGTGAAAGAAAACATCGTGAGGAAACCTGCATATTTTCGAAATAATAACTAAAAAAAAATCGAGTATATGCGAAGTCTGCCAATCCGCAGTGAGGCCGCATGGTGGGCTCTGCCCTAATATAGGGGAGGACTTTGCTCCGCTGTAGGAGATATTTAGGCTGTTACTTTACTTCTCTGGACTACCCCAAGATTGAATATCAGATCATGCTGATGGCATTAAGTCTGCCTTTGTATATATGTTTGGGCATAAAGAAAAGAATAAATCATAATTTGTCATGAAAAGAACAAGAACTTTTGAACAAACGAAATTTTGATTGATCCTTTGATCAAGAGTTTCTGTTTTGTGAGCACTATGGAATTGCAAATATTGAACAACGTAGGCTAATTTTATTGATCGTGCCATTCGTGAAGTTTTGCTTATATATACTTTTTTATTTTGCTTATAACAGGAGTCATTCAAAAACTAAATTCAATAACATCAGCTCTATTAATTGGAGGTAGAACTTTACACAAATTTTTTTATTGCCTATATTTGTGGCAAATAATATTCACGGTAAAATAGTGTGATTACATAATTTATAATGGCGGCCGATATCCTCTGGTAACGAAAATGACGACAGCTATCTACCAACCTTTTTATTGTCCATTATTAGAAATGCTTAGCGCCACCTATTGAGCAAATTTACAGTATGCCGACACTCAAATAACATTTACAATGAATAATTTTACAATGAACTAGGTGTTGCTTTTGATACCGAATGAAATGATTGTTGGTATATATGTACATTTATATTGGCAACACTTGCCCACATAACAATATGGCAAACTATTAGTATTACTTTCCTGTTGTAACATGTAACTATTTTTATCTCAATAAACTAAAACAAAATAGTGGTCCTAATTTGATTATTTAACAATGATTATTTTTTTAACGCTAATCTGCGCTCAAGAAAATTCACTACTTGAGGAAAATTTTTCGACAATTTTTCTATTAATCTCAAATTTAAATTCATACATGTAATAAATGTCACACAATTTTTACATTACAAAACAATAAAAAAATTAAGTTTTGTTGTAATGTAAATTAAAATGTTAAGATACCTTAAAGTAACTTTACCAATATGTTATGAACTGCGTGTACATTAAAATTGCAACAGATAAAAGTACTGTACTGTGTTACCCAATCGACAACCAATAATCGTCGACCTCGCATATCTTTGGTAAAAATTATTTAAAACGGCGACGATACTTGGAGCCTCTTTATATTTCCAATGTTAGCAGACGAAAGTTGTAGGAGCAAGGTACCCTTACTATCGTTAATTTCAATTAATTTAAGCGTTAAGGCATTATAGCGTTGAGGCTTGGTTGTAACTTTAATGTCACTGCCGTTTTCTGAATCAGAGTTTGGATTGTAACCGTATTTTGGTTTCATTGGTATAGAGTCGTGATAACTGGACTTAATGATGCGATAACTTAAAAATTAATACGTAGATGTATTACATTTCTGCGTTTTGTCTGGTGAGTGAGGTAGTCCACTTTATTAAAAGATGGCAGCGCAGCGCAAACTCTACGGGTGTTGCAAATGTCCATGGGCGGCGGTTATCATTTAACATCAGGTGAACCGCCACCTCGTTTGCCACTTGGTCATTATTTGAAAAAAAAATCGTTTTTCCAATGCTTCACAATAGAATAAGCTTGCTGGTTAACCACCAGTTGGAAAACTCCGTCGAAAGTAAAAGTGCAAAGCTCTCATATCAAATTTCACTCATGGATTGGCAAACGGATCAGGTTAATTTTCTCATGTGTTGCCGACGACAGCAAAGAAAGAAAAATTCCCCCCGAGGTCATTAACTGTGTATTGTACAGTCGACGTCACAAAGTTGTATACGTTATCGCACTAAACCCCATCACGATATAGCGAGGTTCTTATATATCAGCGACATTAAAATTATGGTGGCGACTGTACGTCTAGACGATATTCAAAAGTTGAAAGCTCGCAACATTTTGCTTCGACTTTTTATTCATGAGATTTCGACGACGCAGAAAGTAGCTTAGCTTTTTAATTTGAAAAGGCATAACTTGCTCGCACTGACTTCGGTACACAAAGGCTAAGTTAAATTTTGAGCATCCAAACTACATACAACTTATAACTACTAAATAAGGCATTAAGTAATTAACATGTACCTACATAAATCAGAATTTAAAAACCTAGTCGACGTACGGTTTGGTGGAGTGCCTCAGTGATGTTAGACTACTGTTTTGTTATAAATTGACACTCAACACCCTGACATACTTAATATATCCGCTCTCCAGTTTTTCCTTTGGTCTTGATGAAAGTTTGGGTTGATTTCAGTAAAATATAACAAATGTGCAGATGGAGTTTTATGCAATAACCAAAATTATCGGTTTGTTTTATTATTTTTAAAAGAACGATGTTTATTTTGAACCAGATGTCTTAAAATCAGAATGTTTTCTCATAATCGAGGAGTTTATCGACACCCCAAGTAAAATTACCGATTCTGTGGTATTAGTATAATAGTAGTATGTAGGTAGTAAGCAATTCCATGATATTATTCCATATGTATTGGCTTTAACGATGTGAATTTTTATAAAAAACCACATAGCGCGCAACGTAATTTTCTCGGAAACGTTTAGTTATTTTTATTTGAATTTCGTACAGTCACTTATGCTTGTTCGAGTAGCTCACTTGACGTCGTTAACGGAGCGCTTTGGTTAAAACAATCCACTTCGTCGTTATACGTTATGCGTGGTTAGACGCACTAGAAGGGTAAGGGGTTATATAACCGGAACAGCAGATTTGTTTTAAAAGCGTGCTGAACTCCCGATTTTAAGTAACAACCACCGTTTATAGGATATTCGTACTAAAGATTGTTAGTTAGCCGTTTGTTGGTAACCGGCAGTAACCGCCTGTTTAGATAGCAGGGTCTTAGAAACCATGCACCTACAACATTCAATTGTTTTTTACGCAAGTTCTCAATAGGCGAAGTGTTATGACCACGCAGCAGCTTCTGCTGTGGCAAGAATGGGCAGGCTCCATTATACTTTCGCGTTTCCATGGCCATTCTTAGAAAGTTTAGCAACACATCCTTACTAATATTATAAACGCGAAAGTTTGTATGTATGGATGGATGTTTGTTACTCTTTCACGCAAATACTACTGCATGGATTTTAATGAAATTTTACAATTATATAGCTTATACATCAGAATAAGACATAGGCTATAATATATATACATATTTTTTGTATATCTGTTTTTCTGTCTGAATGTTTCGCCTTCAGCCTATTCTACGCAGACGTAGTCGCGGGCAGCAGCTAGTCTGTTATATATTCTACTGTGGTAGGGTCACGCAAAAGTTGTCGCTATTGCGTGACAAGGCCGTCCGGGGAAGTACCACGACCTCATAGAAGACTGACATGAAGTAGAAGTGTTATACGTCTGTATATGTCTACGTTTCGTCTTGCGAGTGAAGTATCTGGCGTCCAATCATTGAGAGATAGCACGCCTGAGAAACTGTTACGTGAGTAATCCTATCAACATTTTTTTATGTGACAAGGTGGCAAGCGAGCTGGCGGTTCACCTGATGTTAAGTGATAACCGCCGCCCACGGACATCTACAACGCCCGTAGAGTTGCAGCTGCGTTGCCTCGGCTACCTCACTTACCAGACGAAACCATTTCACGCCGGTCTTCTGTGAGATCGTGGTACCTACCCAGACGGAACTGCCCATTCGTGCAACAGCGAGGACTGTTGCGTGGCCTTACCACATCAAGATAAAATTCAAATTTTGAGTATTATTTAATACAAGTATTGCCCGATGATGAATTTTGAGACCAGTGTATACGACGGTCCACAGAGGAAAGCAGTAGTTGCAAAAACTAAAAACTCGCCTCGTGCATCGAACCTATATTACTTTTTTTTTAAATAAATGCTTTCAGCCAGCACCGAATACAGACGCCACACGAAAGATGAAAAAGAAAATAATAAAAAAAAAGAAAAGCACGATGGGTTCGCGGGGGAATTTATGTTGCAGCAAAAACAAAGGTGCGACGGCGAGATGAAATTTTCCACGAATCCGAACAGAATGCGACTGCAATATTTCTGCGCTGTCTGTAAAGCTCCGTTTTGTACGTTGATTAAAACGTTGTTCTCCCTCGAATGACAGTGTGAGCGAAATTCTACGGTCGGGGAACTTAGCAGTATTAACATCTCATGTCTTTGGAGTAGTTTGGAGTTAAATTTGGTGGCTTCTTGAATTGAGATTCATACATTTTCTTTGCTGTAATCGGCTATTAGGGTAAAATATTTATAAACCTTTCCTTTACTAGTTATCTAAATTATTAAGCTACTAGAGGTCGGACGTTGTCCTGTACACATGAATTAAAACCGACAACAAATTATTAAAAAAAAATCGGTGGACCGAATCGTGAATCTAAACCATTCTCGAATCGACCTGAAGACACAAAAGTTCATTAAAAACGGTCCAGCCGTTTATGAGGAGTTCAGTGACATACGCACGTACAGGAGAATTATATATATAAAGATATTAAAAATTAAATCAAAATATTATAAAGTAAAAGATAAGATTTTTTTGTATATTTCTTTATAACAGATGAACTCAAAAACAACTTAACCTCTTTGTAGGTTTCTAAAGTTAAAGATTAAACAAAAAGATAAAAAAACAGCTTCTTTGACTGTGTAATTTCTGTATGACCGGCGCTCTGCCTGGTGTTGACCCTATTTCAAAGTCAAAGGTAAAAATTTCCTTATTCAACATACGCTTTTTTTAAGCTCTTATTGAACGTCAAACACTACCATTTCGCCAAACTAATCGATATAGATAAGTCAAGGGGATTAACTAAAAGTTGCTCTTACTGAAGGGTAACGTCACTACCTATTGGATACACAAACTCGTTGACAAACAGGCGGATTCGGAACTATGTCTATCCGGAACTATCTGTGGGTCACTAAATGAAACTATGTTTACGGATTTATCGCGTTTATTTTGGTTTTAATACCCGGGACAGTCCCGTGACCATGACTGACATGAAAAGGGTTCAAAACAAAGTAAACCAAAATAATCGCGATTCCCGTGTGGGAATCCAAAGAGGCATTCAGTAGTTCATCAATGTAGGGAAAATCGCTGTTGTATTGACTATAATATCATTACACATCTTTGTCATAAATCTATTGATCAATGGTAAAATAGACCTAAGCTAGTTAAAAAACCGACGAAGAAATTATTATTGGGGATATTTACGTTTACCTTAAAAATATTTAACTTACTCTGTCTTCTCGCATCTAAATCTATCCAGAGATCATCTCTCACAATGGTCTGTTAAGAGAAATGGCACGGTTGCAGTCCTCTACCAGATCATGTTTGATTACAAAACTAGTGCTACATTTGCCGTACGCCCCTGAAGGAAGAAATCACGAGACATTCCTCTCGATTGTGTCAGTGAGGCAGCGTGTAGGTAGATACAATGACCTAATTGCTGGCAGGAAGTGAAAGGAAGGAAGGAAGGAAGGAAGGAAGGAAGGAAGGAAGGAAGGAAGGAAGGAAGAAAGGAAGAAAGAAAGAAAGAAAGAAAGAAAGAAAGAAAGAAAAGAACCCATTAAACTCAACACCGCACGCGTTGGAGGACTGAGATTTCCATGCTGGATTCAAACAATGTACGATTTCGAGCCAAATAATGGACTCACCATGAATACGGCGCAAAGCAGTAGGGCGGCGAGGAGTTGGGGCACGGAGCTCGGCGGTTCCGATTGGGGCTTCCAGTGGCAATGGTCAGCCTCCGAAGAAGCAGCCACCTGCACCTCGCTGTAGGTCTCCTGGAACAGATGACGGTGAGTAAAATAGAGGCATAATTATATTGTACAAAAAACAAATTTTTCGCATAATATCTTTTTTAATTATCCGGTTGAAATACAGAAGTTGATGTTGGCACTGGCATTAAGGTTTCTGGCATGGTACTAATGAAATTTATTCCTTCATGCAAAGCTCATCCGACGTAATTGAAACTATGTACACTTTTAAAACGTTCATGAACCTTGGCATTTTTTTCCTATGCCTTTAGGACGTAGTTCCACTAAGGTATATAGAGGGCGGGAGTTATATATTAATATAAATGGTCTTTAAGAGACCGTTTTTCCGAATGAGATGACACTTAACACAACTTAACTTAACACTTAATTGCGCGAAGTTTTCTGACATAGTTTCCCCGAAACACAGGGGACACGCGTTGTATCAGATAAAGGGAAATGTTTTTTTATATTAAAAAAAAAGTTTGACGGTTCAGCTCTCATCCATCCGACCGGAATTAAACATTGTGATACCATTTGCGGCATCGCGACGTTTGTTAGGCAGTATCTAGTACATGAATATGCAATACCGGCATGTTCCCCTGAAGCATGTTGAACTCATTCTGTAACACATTTGCAATTCATCATCCCTTATCGCGGTAAAGGGGAAACTGTTGGAATCTTGTTATGCAGCAATTAAAATTGAATAAAAACAAAGTCTTGCGCTCGAACGGCAGAATTCCACTTACACTAGACAAAGCGAGACAACAGTGTTCGCTGTTGCACGAATGGGCTGGTCCGTCCGCGTTAGTACCGCGACCTCACAGAAGACCGACGTGAAGTAGAACTGTTGCACTTTTGCATTTCGTCCGGTAAGTGAGGTGGCCGGGGCCCACTTTATTAAAAGGTGGCTACGCATCTGCAAGCCTACGCGTGTTGCAAATGTCCATCGGAGGCGGTTATCACTTAACATCGGGTGAACCGCCGGCTCGTTTGCCACTTTCTCATATTAAAAAAGCGACAAGGTTTCAACCAAAATCGATTTTATCCAATAGCAATGCGTTACTACATAGTATAAACAAAGTCGTCCTGCTATCTGTTGGTCCTTATGTAATACATAATATGTATGCTTAGATCTTTAAAACTACGCAACTCTGGATGCGGTTTTTTACTAGATAGAATGATTCAAGAGGACGGTTTATATGTATAATACATTGCACCCGTGCGTAGCCGGGACAGGTCGCTAGTTGTTGATAAAATGAGCTATGGAAGGACCGCGATAATTTGTCAATCATGTTCTTTAACATTACAACAAATAAGTAAGTAAAGTATCAATCAGGCCATGTCCCAATGCCGAGTAAAGGCCTCCTACAGAGGGTATTAGGACATAGTTCACCACGCGGCCCAGCTGCGGATGTGCAGACTTCACATATCTTCGATAAACATTTTTTGTTAATATTTCGAAAATATGCTGGTTTCTAAACGATGTTTTCCTTCAAAGTTGCTCAACTTCTCTTCTCAGTCTCGAGAAACATACAATTTAAGTTATAATTAAGGGCTAATTAATGTCGAGAGCAGTTCGTCTGTCCGAATAGCATTTCCATAGCCGAGAAGGTACCACGAGTCGCTGTCTCGTGTTACGTCATCAACGCAGTTTCCTCTCGCCCCGGGCGAGGCCACGACCTTGCCTCGCTCTGAAACCTCAGAAATTCACCCAAACAAACAACGCGCCGACTCCTAAGGCTTCCAACGTCATTAGAGATTAATTTGAAGCGTTGGATAACTAAAGATAAAATAATTGCGAAAAAACAAAGACGTGGCTTCATCGTGCGAAACAACTGTCACGTGTTTTATGATTTTTCTTATGTCACTTCATCAAAATACGCTGCGTTGAAAAAATATTATTAGAATGATTGTTTGAATTGACGCAAATACTATTTTTATAAGCGTTTAATATTAGTTTATTTACCCGACTTCACTCATCGGATGAAACGCAAAAGTGTAAAAAGCAGGGGCTGTTGTGTGGCCTTACCACGTTCGGGCGTTCGATAACTATGGCGCTTGAATTACTTTAAAGTATTTGAATTTCTTTCTAAGATCACCTTACATCGCTCCCTACTTAAAACCCGTTTGGTCAGCGTCATTGCAAATAATTTAATTAGGTCTAAGAATATGAAAAAAAAACCTAACTTTATTAATCAGGTTTACGTCACTCAAATGCTACTGAAGTTGTATTTAGATCATGGCTCGAATCTTAAAGCAAGATTAAGAAAGAAATATTTACTATTTCGTTAGTGCGAAAGGTTTGCAATGAGGCGGGATGTACGCCAAAAGATCCATGAAGAAAAACTAAAAAAAGAAAAACTATATTTGCATGTCTAACAATCGGGAGAGTTAAAAAACGTTCCATTTTAATCAAGGGACATGAAAACTGCACAATTTCAATACATTTGTCGGCACAAAGCAATCCTGGGATCGCGAAACGGGACCGACCCAAATAAACTCCTTCGACGGCCGTTCGAGAATAGACAATATCGTTTATTTTCAATGTCTACGGTCAACGACCGCGCGCTGAACTCGTAAATCAATCAGAGTCGTCAATGGAATGGCAATGACCATAGACAAAACGTGCACTTCGTACCAAGTGGCATTTGCAATGAAAAATAAACAGTGTACAACCTATTTAAAGTTACAAATATTCAAGTCGGGCTAGTATAAATAATAGAAAAAAAAAAATAGACGGTAATCTAAATAACTTATGGCCCGAGTTTTCCGTTGATTTTCATTTAAGACAATGTAAAGAGAACCTAAAAGCTTAAGTAAAGCTTAGCTAAACCCTTCTCATGAATCACTCCGTCCATGGTGAACTGAAAATCGTATGAAAATCCGTTGTGTAGTGTGTGTGTGTGGTTTCAGACAGTATACAGTTATACTTCAGTTTTTTTTAAGATATCCCTCTTATAGGATACTGACTTTCTTTATAAATTAAAATATAATATTCCAAGGTCGCCTGAAAGAAATTGCTACCTTAACCAGGAGGCCGCCTATATGTACACTATGTTTCGTATATTTTCTTTATATGTATTTCCTTGTGTGCAATAAAGTGTAATCTATTATATTCTATTCCGGCCTGATAAGAGATATTCATGTCACTCCGGAATATTGTAGCTTTCTATAAGGGAAAGAATTTTAACTTGAATTTTAAGAACAGTTAACTAGTTTATGATTTATCCATCAAATAAGGTTATTTTTCCAAACAAATATTTTATTTTGTTAAAATCGGTTAAGTAGTTTTTGAGTTTATCTATTACAAACAATTTTAGAAAATTGCAAGCACTTAAATCTTGCCTCTTTTTGTTACTAACGTAGAAGTTATTACTAACGCCGAAGCCAATACTTGGCGCAGTTGCCAAAGTATTGGCTTCGGCGTCGGGGGTCGTGGGTTCGATTTCCACAGGGGACAACTATTTGTGTGACCCGCAGATAGTCGTTTCGCATATGGGTATTTGTCCGCGTGAAATTTATGTTTGTAAAACGTCCTTATAACACAGGATTATGTTATCCTAAAGTAAGGTCCACGTTTTAATAAAAATAAAAGAAAAATAAATAATCCTCTAAAAAATTAAACCTCTACTGGGCCAACCGCATTACATGGTATTTGTCAATTTCCTGTTGATAATACCATGTAGAGGTTACGAGATTGCTGCATTGTAATCGTAGCTATAACACCTAAATATAAACTATATGTACAATTTGCGTCTATGAAATTTTCATTATACGCAAAAAACAATTACTAAATGGGATGACCATCTAATTACGAGCATAGAAAAGATCATTCCTTTATCCTGTATAATTTTGATTTATTCTTTATTTGTTAAGGTACTAAGCCTTATAAATTTTAACGATATGGAAAAACGAAACTTGTAATACAAGCTCACGTTGGCTTTACCAATGAGTTAAATAAAAACTATTTAAAATAAACAACTTTTCATTTTTATTTTAATGTCTATCTAATCTATAGAAGTTGCTGTCCATAATACTAAGTATCAGCACCACAGTTGCTGAAAGCTGAAACATGATAAATCTTTCAATATGAATGTGGTTTCTAAGTTTTTAAATAATAAAATAATTATAAAATTTGTAACCCGTGTTCCCAATATTCAAAGAAATGATTGAAAATATCACACAATTCCTGTCATACACTCTAGAGAATATACAATGTTTTAGTTTTGAATCATCACCATAATAAAGAACTTTATAATCTTATCCTTTAAATGTTTTTTTCTATACCAGATCATTTTCTTTATTTTTTATTTTTTTTATTTCCAAAATACATGATTTACCAAAAAACCGAGCAAAGCTCGGTCGTCCGGGTACTTATTATTAACAACAGTAATTTTTAGAGAACATGACCGTCAGCAATTGTCGAGGTCGTTGTCGAGCCATCGTATAGTTTTGTAATAACTGTCATAATTATATATAAAATTATCGTGTCACGGTGTTTGTAATTGAACTCCTCCGTAACGGCTCGACCGATTTTCGTGAAATTTTGTGTGCATATCGGCGAGAGTGGAGAATCGGACATCTTTTTTTCATCCCCGTAAATATTAAGGATGGTCCACCCCAAACATTTTTTTCTACCCTACAAACAATTTATATGGCAAAACAACGTTTGCCGGGTCGACTATTGTACTATATTAATTAATCTTACGAATATAAGTACATAGCATTTTAGTACTATGTACTTATAGTCGTAAGATGAACGTAAGACGCTTCTAAGACGTTAACTGCACTACATGAATCGTTGTGTTTCTATTTTTAATTCATTCATTCATTCACATGAATTGCTCCAACAAAACAAACGTCCATATCGGACATATAACGTTTTATACAATTTGTACAAAATCTATAGGAACGTATAAAAGCATCGTAAATAACAAAATCGATTAGGAGGCGAAGTAGGTAGACGTCCAAGGTTGGAGCATACACAAAGGAAATCCGTAGTTCACAGCTTGCATAGTATATTGTGA